ATAAAAAAATAATAGTGGCAGGAGGAGAATAAATGGCAGTGGGAAGTTGCATGGGATGAATAGGCGTGCACTGTATATGAATACCAACAAAATTCTGTAGATGTGGGTGTTATATCTGTGCGACTTTCACATATAACACAAGACATGGTCATGACAAACGTATCATGCTTTCAGGGTCGATTTTTGATCGAAATTTTTTTTGTTTTGTTTTTTTAGGCACCGTGACACAAATCTGCACCACCAACATGCCTTCCCAGTGTGATGTTTGCCGTAAGGACCTGAGTAGTAATTTGGCGCTCGCAAATCACATGAGGACCCACACAGGAGAGAAACCTTTCGAGTGCACTGAGTGTCACAAGACATTTGCGACCAGTTCTAGTCTTCGCAGCCATCTCAAAATTCACACAGGAGAGAAATCTTTCGGGTGCACTGTGTGTCACAAGATGTTTGCGCACAGTTCTGGTCTCCGCAGCCATCTCAAAACTCACACGGGAGAAGAGAAAACTTTCAAGTGCACCGTTTGCAACAAGAAATTCTTGACAGCGCAGGGGCTACTTGGACATCTCCGGACGCACACGGGAGGGAAGCCCTATGAGTGCACCGTGTGTGACATGAAATTCTCACAACATCCGCATCTCCGTACACATCTCCGAACGCACACCGGAGAAAAGCCCTTCGAATGCAGCCTCTGCCAGAGGAGGTTCTCGCAAAGTTCACATCTGCGAGTACACGTCCGGAGGCACACTGGAGAAAGACCGTATCAGTGTACTGTGTGCCACAAAACATTCCTCACCGGTAATTACCTTCGTGGGCATGCCCTAATACACACGGGAGAGAAACCTTTCGAGTGCACCGTGTGCAACAAGAAATTTACACAAACGCATTCGCTACGTGGACATCTCCGAACGCACACGGGAGAGACACCTTTTTGGTGTACCGAGTGTCCAAAAAAATATGGGTCGGCTGGTGTTCTTCGCAGGCACCTCCTAACTCACACGGGAGAGAAACCTTTCGAGTGCACCGTGTGCGACAAGAAATTTACGCAAGCGCATAGGCTACGTGGACATCTCCGAACGCACACGGGAGAGAAACCTTTCGAGTGCACCGTGTGCGACAAGAAATTTAAGGAAGTGTATTCGCTACGTAGACATCTGCGAACGCACACGCGGTAAAATGTGATCGAACATCACTGAGATCTACGAACACTCACAGGTTATAAAAACACGATTGTTTTATTGTACTTTATCATATTAGAAATTTGACAAATCTGTCGAATGTACTTTGTATGAATTATGAATGTGACAGGAGTTCTCATATGAAGACTTGCTTCCAATATGTTTGGAGCACAAGGACTATGTAAAAAAATAGAATCTAAAATAAATTTACATTATTTTTAACGCTATCTTGCAATTGGCGTACTATTGCCCCCCCCCCCCTCCCAGTTTAACGCTCGGGATCATTGGCCGGAATGATGTGTTTGTTTCTCTTTTCAATCTTAGTGTCATGGGATGCTGCCTCTCGATGCTGCAGTGTTCATTTGTCCCCTTGCTCCGGACCCTTTTTCATCTGCTGGTATATTTTCTTTCTCTCGTGTGATGAAGTGGTGCTCCTTTCAAACAAGACAAGGCCAAAGTCGCGGCAGAGGGGTGAAGTCACCTGCACGACAAAAGACACTGCCGATCTCGTATTATTGCGTTGGCGGAAAAGGAACGAGCAAAAGCAATTTGCAGGGAAATCGATTTGATTTATAAGTTCAACACGAACTCTTTTGCCAGCAAATTTGAAACTTTCTGATGCGTTTCCCTTATTTCTCATAATGTTGCTGGCAGGGCTGTAATTATTTTTCTCGTAATAATACAACTTGAAGTTGTCCCTTGATGGAAGATCTCGCCCAGCTTTGCAGGAACCCTCTTCGCCACTCATCCTCTTAGGGAAAAGGGGGGCGAAAGTGGCTGCCGGGGCGACAAAGGCGGGAAGGCTCCCCCGGGCAACAGGCTGCGGGCGGGCTGGCGGCGGCCCGACCCGACTGGGGCGGAATGTGTGTGCCTGCTCGTGACGAGCGCCGAGGTGGCACCCGCTCGGGCAACGACCTCCTCGCAGATTAGGATTTGCTGGTTACAATACTCTGCCGAAGCTATATAGATCAAAGCTTTCACAGCCCTATTTAACCCACAAGGCAACGGGGCCACACAATTTAGTGTGATCGGTAAATTAAAAAAAAAAAAAATCGTTCCATCCGAATATCGGATCGACAGAAAGTCGAGGTATCGGCGGGGGTCCTATAGGACTCTACTACTGCGCTCTGTTGCTTGGGTTTGCGCGCCACTCTTTTGCAAGGAGAAGCAACAGTCGCCATTCTCCACAACACTACCGCCCTCTGCGCCATTCAAAAAGGCCGCCAATTTCTCGACTCGCGGCCGGCGGATTTTATTTCCTCCGCTTGATATGAGATCGGCGCGGCGAAGCTCGGCCGACATCAAAGAAGATAAAGTATTCACTCCCTAATAAGGTGGTGGGCTCAAGTGCCTTTTTATTATTTCTCTCTCAATCCAGACCCCACTCCTCCCGCCCCCTTCTTTCTTTTCCCGTCCGTCGTTCTTCTCTTTTCATCCGCAAAGCGCGTCAAAGAGACTTTTGTGTGTCGCCAAAGCGTCTCCTCGCGCCTACGCGTTGTTAACCTTTTATCAGAGTGTTTTTTATCATTCTTTTCTCTTAAGCGCTGCTATAATTGCTATGATATGGGAAGCTGTGCTGCTCCCCCCCC